AAACATAGAAACATTGTTTTAGCTAGCTTATGTATGTGAAATTAATTTCTCTGATTTTAAAATATAAGAATTTCAAGTTTCACTATACGTAAAAGCTTAACCATTAATTACTAATTTTAAGTCACTTTTAATCCATTTGTAATATTTTATTTTATTTTTAAAAAAGAAGAAGATAATACTATCTAACACCAGCAGTGCAAGAGCACCAGTTTAAGTAGCTACATTTTACAGGTTCGATTAAATGAACCATGTGACTTTGCATTTAAATGAATCTATCATTTATGCCTTGTAATTGCTATCTAAATTGGTGCTTAACACTAATGATAATAAATAACATTATTGTTTTTCTTCAAGATTGATGAGACGGCGGGCGCACAAGTTTCAATTTAGTTCTCAAACAATAAATGTATTTATGTAATGCCTTGAAGGGACTCTCCCATGCACGATGAAGACATCACTAATAAAGTTCTTTGAAGAGCTGCCCATGGATTACAAAAACACGGACTACTTAGTATATCTCATTAATTGCCTCCCAACTTCTGGCTATCCATAAAATCTCTGATCTAGATTATCTTCAAAACCCGTCCAAATTATGGTGAATTTTACGTGTTTGGGTATCTATGTTACCGATGGAGCCATCTCTATACTCCTCATAAACTAGAACTGTCTGTGTCCTTGTATGTTTAAATGTTATTCTCTTACTCAAAACGTGTATACTTCTTGACATGGTTACTATCTGGGTTAAACAACGAAACTACAAAACCACAAAATCAAACCGGAATCGTTTTCTTGAAACCATTGGTTTTGATCTACAAGAATCCGTCAATGTTTTGATTTTGAACCGAACCAAACCGCTTCGAAGTGGTTTGATTTATGTTTCAATCTTTGCAAACCGTTTACAAAAAAATTTGAAAATAAATTAATCTAAATTTTATTTAACCCAATTAAAACTTAACACATTTCAGTTAAAAAGATACATCTATATTAGACATAATTCAATTAAATTCAATTCGACAATCATACATCTCAATTAATTAATTAATTATATCCAAATACTCATAAGTCATCACAATTATGAATGTAAAACTCTCAAATTGGATAAAATTTTAACAACTGGTGCTAAACCACATTCATCAATTTTTCATTACAATTGAGCAGACAATAAAGTCTAGATTTTAATTCAAATGTGCACATTTCATTTCCTTCTAATAATTTTCTCAAATTTTGCTCAAATTCAAGTCGGAATTTTTTTTGGTAATTATTTTTATTGATAGTTATGTTGTTTTGGTCTAATAATGGTCAGTTTGTTAGTCTCCCTTAAAGTAGTTCACCTATATTTAGATTTAGTAGAAGCTTTAAATGATTCACAAAAAATCATAGTAGTTAGGTACTATTGTATTTGAATTTTTTATTAATTATTTTATATCATTTAACTATAATCAATGAATTTATGTACCATATTTTTATATTTATGAAAAAAATAAATCATGAATTACACTTGCAGATGGACGCCATTAATATCGACTAAGAGTTTAAAATATTTAGATTATGTTGTTGCATTATAATAATTATAATTATATAACTTTGATTTGTAATTTTTTTTAATAATATAATTTATGTTTTAACATGAAATATTAGACTAATATTTATGATTTTAACTTATTTGATATATATAAATTTTTTTTTGTTAAATCGTAGTTTTAAACCGAACCAAACCCAAAAAAATGGTTTGCATTGGTTTGGTTTAGAAGTCGAAGTGGTTTGGTTTGGAAAAATTTCAAACCGCTTTAAATAGTTTGGTTTGAAAATTTGTCTCAAACCGTTCAAACCGAACCGTGTTCACCCCTATCTACTATGTTTATTCATTTTTTTTCCCAGTTTCCCACCAACTCATTGCCCATTCTCATTCTTCCCAACCCACTCCTTCCCCATTTCAATTTCCCACCTGTTCCCTGGACATCATATCTTCAAACTTCCTTGTCTTAACTTCCTATCAGAAGCTCCTTCTTCCTCTCCAGATTCTCCATCGACGAGGAAGCCTATACTCCACCTTCTCCTTCACAAGCACAAACCCAGGTATTAAGTTCCCCCTGAAAGCACAAGTGTGACATTGAAATGTCTCTCCTACGTCACGTGTGCCAGTTTCTTCTTGCAATGAAAGTCCTGCCCATCCTCCTAAACCTCCCATCCGGCACCAAGTGATCGACCCCTACGGTTGCCATCATAAACCTCCTCCTCTAGCTGATGCTCACCATCGTACTCACCGAATCCTACTAGTTCCATGTCCAATGCCCACCCATGACAGCATTCTCAAAAGCCAATATCCATGAGTCCAGTTAGGTGCTGATGATTCTAAGAGAAACCATTTCTTGATTGCCGTAATAGTTAATATGATTAATTTCTGAAACTTAAAATATCATTTAAACAAAGGTCATACACTTGTAACATAGAGGAAAATTCCAATAGAATGTTTCCATAGTGGAATTTGGTGACCAAAATTAATATGCTATCTGTCATCCCTAACAAAAGATCAAATAGTTGGGGGAAATTATGTAGACTCGAAAAGTAATTTAAACATCGTCCTCATTGGAGAAACACAAATTTGTGTTAAATGAGATTTCTCCTAATGCTCCGAGCCCATCTGATGCAAAGGCTGTCTACGAAAATTGGCATCACTGTAACAAGATGGTCTTATGTTATATAATAGCATCCATGTCGAGTGTTCTAAGGTAGAAACACCAGAGTCTGGAAATCATTTAGGAAATGATGGAAAGCCTTTAAGTGATGTTTTGACACCAAAGCAGCCAGACTAGACAAGACATCCATCAAGTCTACAATGAAGCCACACATGAATCTCGGGACACCCATTAAAGATGATATGGTGATCGTGATTGGACTGTTTAACATGGCTGAAGCTTAAGGGCAGAAATTGACTCGAAGACTCGGGTCAACATGGTTCTAGGACACTTTTGGGACGTTCTCCCAATTCAAAGTGGATTTTAATTGCGAGTCCATGACTGAATTAGTGAAGGAGCTTCAAAGTGATGGGAGTGTTCCCAAGACTTAAGGTGACACCATGGTGGTTCTAGTGGAAAATCTTGTTCTAAGCTGAAAAGCAAGGGAAGGAAAATGATAAAAGAAACCAACTAAAAGGGCCAAAACAAGAAGGGGGGAAAAAAGGTTAGATGACAACTAAAGGAAAATGCTTTCATTGTGGGCAAAAGAAACACTATAAGAGGTATTTCCAGGATTATATAGCTAACGAAAAGCTAAGGGCAAGTCATTCTACATTGGGACTTGCTTAGTGGGTAATTTTATTAATAACAGGAATGTAACCATGTTTGTAATACATTGGCTTATGCCTTATTGCATCACACTACTAAAAATCATAAATTAACTCACACTATTGAAACCCCCTTGTAGCACCTTCTAGTAGGTCATATTAATCCGAATAGAATTCAAAGACTAGAAAGGGAAGAATATTTAAGTAACTTAAAAGGTAGAATATTTCTCAGTTTGCAAAATCCTATTTGCACGGTAAGATAATCAAGAGGTCAAGTATGGGATTTTATGCTAGCTGAGTGCACGGAGAACTCTTTTAACAGGAAAAGTGAGTCACAAAGGGGAAGAGAACCCTTTTATACATGGTTAGATCAATGCTTAGTTTTTCTATTTTACCAATTTCCTTTTCGAGGTATGGCCTACAAACAGGCATATATCTTCTCAACCTGGTACCATTTACATCAGTTCCAAAGAAACCTCTGTATCTACAGAATGGACATAAACCTAACTTACGCAACATTCGCATATAGAGATGTCCAGCATGTGCTAAAATGAAAGGTGGATAAGATAGATGCAAGATCATAATCATGTATTTTATAGGTTATCCAAAAGGGACCAGGAGTTCTCTCTTTTATAGTCCTCAATAAGGTATTTGTCAGCATGAATGCAACTTTCTTAGGAGGACATATATCAGAGATCAAGATTTCAAAAATAAGGTTCTACCAAAGGAGATCAAGAAAATATTCCCAGCTCACCAAATCTAGAGATCAGTGTAGAACCTAATGCCGATGATTAGTTCCACTTATTACTACTAAATTTTTAGAAGTTGATCACCGTAGGAGGAATGCACAAGCAGTACCAAGTGCTATTCCCACTAAAGAGGAGGTCCAAAAATCATAGAGGAAAAAACTCTATTATCTAGCAGTCACCCACCAGGTACTGATATTAAGATAATTGATCAGGGACAAAACGAAATAGAAGTTAAATCCGCCTCTAGACAAAATAAATAAATAAATAAATAAAAAATAAAACCGAACCAAAAGCCTTGATAGCTTAGACGTAATGAGAGTGTTATTAGACCACCTTCTAGATACTGTCTCTATGGGGAGCCTTTCAAGACAGTATCCCTAAGCAAGAAGAGGACCCCACATTGTTTTACGAGGCTATGGAAGATAAAGATGCAAAATCATGAAAAATTACCATGAACTTGGATATAGAGTCCATGTACTCCAAAAAAGTGTAGGAAATTGTACACGTGTCTCAGGGCTTAAACCCATAAGGTGCAAATGGATCTACAAGAGAAAGAAGGTAATACATATGAAAAGCTAGAAATCCTCAAAGCTAGGCTTGTTGTCAAGGATTTTACCCAAAAAGAAGGCATCTTTTACAAAGAGACCATTCATGCTTAGATCTAATTAGATTCTCCTATCCATGACGAGAGCATCTATACAATGCAACCATATTAGTTTGTGAGAAAACGGGATATAAGTTAAGAACCTTGCAATTCATCTATAAAGCTATCTTTAGTGCATTAGTTCCCACCATGAGTTGTGAACCTTGACCATTCATCAAGCTTCTTAATATATTCCAATACTGACATTAATGCTTGACATATCTGAAAAAATTCATACAAAGTCAGTAAGACACACTAGAGGGGGAAAAAGGAAGAAAGTGAACAAGAAAATATTACAATAAGAGGGTAATAAGAATGTCTAGAATCAACAACAAACGAATACAAGCAGGAAAACATACTGCGACTTCAAGTCAGAGTAGAAAAGTATCAACCACACTACAATAAACTAAGCAAATGGTAAAAAATCATTTACTAGAGAAAATGAAACCACAAAATTACCTAGCCACTAGTCTTCTTTTCTTCAATTGGATGCAAAAGATTTTCATAGAGATATCCTGATGAACTTGCATTTTCCAGTAATTCATTTTTCTCATCAAGAAAAACAAGACTTTCCGTGTAATTAAGCCAAGAAGAATCTACGGAACTATCATATATGAGATCTCTACTCATCTTCATCTCAAAGTTATATGCAATCACGCTCTCATCAGTGTAAATTATAATCTCATTGTTCTTCGTAATGCCTATTGGCTACTTTGCTTTTTCCTCAGTTTCGTCATTGAACTTTTTCACCCATGATTCGACCACTCCAAATTCATTCATTACCCATACACTCCAAATGTTACACCCATAGCACCAACTATTAGGGGCAACAAAGAAAGCAAGACACCCCTTGTAGACCACGAGATAAGGATCCTCTTGGTGTTGATGATATTCGCAATATTTTGGTAACTGCAACTCTTGAAATTGTTCTGAGTGGGTATCAAATGACAAAATAAAGTCATCCATAATACCACTTTGATGAGAATAGCGAGCAATCCAATTGAAAGTTCCATCTACAAATGCTGGATGATGTGAGAATCGGATTTTCCCAGGTAGTTTTGCTTCGTCAAGTTTTCTCCAAGAGCTTGTATTGAGACCATAAACTTCAACTTGAGACTGATTGCTCAATTCATTGATATCTACGTTGCACATAATTCTTATCAACTTATAATCATTTTTTTCATCATCATACCAAAATCCAACATGAACTCTAGTGTATTCATGATATAACATTTTGCGGCAACAAGTACCAGTTATGCATTTATATTTCCGAAGCACAGGGTTCCACATGTAAATGATGTTGGTCTCAGGATTATTATTTCATTCAAAAAACCGATTGCAGTAAACATTAAAGAATTACAGAAACGTAAAGAACACAAGAATTTTCGTCCCTAAGGGCCCGGAAGTTTAGCCAAAAGGCCTACTCACCCGTTGAGCATCTACAAAAATAGATTAGGCTCGAATCCACTAAGAATCACAAAGAATCGATACAAGAATGTATGAAGAAACCGCAGTTCCTTCAATTTCAGTTTTCTTTCGCCTCTCTATAATACAACACTCAGTTTTCTACAATCTCACAGATCATATACCAAATACAACCCTAACATCACTCAGATTAGAGATTGCTTTCAGAAAGATGCAAGAACAGAAGAGTCCAAAAAACCCTCAGAGAGAAGACGAAGAAAACCCTAGAACCGTTCACTCAAATTAGGGCAAAAGTGAAGAGTCACGAGACTTTTAATAGTCTAGCAAAATATTAAAGATCCAACGATTACAAAGGTGCCAAGTGTAAGGTCCACAACAATCACCCATTATTAAAAAAAACGCGTTTCCAGAAAAATGCTTTTCATTTCCAACCAATTTCAAACCGTTGGATCAACCAACCCGGCAAGGCCCAATATTACTAAGTTTGGGCCAGCCAAGAATAAAGAGGCAGCCCACCATCAAATGACTCGACCATGAAAATCTTCTTCATCATCATCAGCTAAGCAAACTAGACCATTGCACGAACCAATCGGTCTACATCTCTTCGATTCAAAATCCACAGGCAACTCCACATCATAAACCACATCAAAGTTCATCAGGTTGTCAGAAACTACCGTGCATAATTTATAATCTTCAACCAAGGGTGGTACATAGAGAAGATAATGCAAGCTATCATTATCAATTTTGCTAGCAATAGATTTGTTGAGATGGGCGGCAATAAAGGCAGATGATTTAATAAAAGAATACCATGATTTGCTGACAGTGGTAAAACGCCCCACGGATTTTAGGGGCAGCCTTGAAATAATTTCAAAGAAGATTTCTGGTGGAAAATGCTTCTTGGTAGCTTTAGTTTTCTTGCTGATTTGAGTCATTGCTTTTGCTCACCCAAGGGTACCTATCAAACAACAAAGACAGGGATTAAGGAATTTGGAGAGAGGGAGAACAGACCCAGAAGATTCCCTAAAGCAAAGGCAGCCCTAAGATTCAACCCGTTTTTGGACACTAATATATACAGATTCAGTCATCTAAAATTTCCAGTTGGAGAGGAATTTTTGGCATATAATATAAACAATTCAATCTGCAGGTCCCTCCATTTTTGGTCAAGCAATACTTTTATGATTCATCTGGCATTGAGCAGTGTGTAAACATCAACTTTATGAAACATATCACATCCATAAATCCTCCTTTTACATTCAATAACGACACCACTGAACGAGACCAAATCAGCATCATTTTTAATGACAACAAATGTTTAATACAGATTCCAAAACACTATTCATGTAAAGATACATATCAAATATATTGTAGTTAGGCCTTCTTTACAGTTTCCACCAAAATCTATTTTGAAGGCTAAATAAATGTTTAAATTGCATAATTAAGTAAGCAATACGACAAAAAGAACTTCTTTTCCACCATATAATTAAAAGGGGCATTTTTAAGAATGTCCAATTTTAAGGGTATGAGTTAAAAAGTGATCGCTCATTTGAATTTAGTGTCAACTTGTCTATTATACCCTTAATGAAGAGCTACATCTTGAAATGGTATTCTCGACATTTGATTTTTTATTAATTTGTCACGAATTTTGAGAAGTGGCTTAAATGAGAAGTTACATTAAAATAATGTTTCTCGACATTTCATATGTCATTCTCGACATTTGAACACCGTTTTATTTGTCTAGAATGACATTTCATTTTGAACATGACATTTTTCTACATTTAAAAATGTCGTTTTCGACATTTCTGAATCAATGAAAAATATAACATTTATTATGATTTGATATGTATACTTTTGAAATAAATATGGTAGGTTATGTGTCAAAATTTTATTGGCCAATAACAATATTGTAAAAATATCCATTTTTTTGTCTTAGTGTAGAATTATAAATTGTTAATAAGGGAATTTTAGTTTAAGTTCTTCCAAATTAGACATTTTTGCAATGGTGGACATTTTTGCAGATGACTACATAAAAGTGGACATTTTGTGAAATTTCCTCTAATTAAAATTAGGGATTTAAAATTACCTTGAAGAAACAGAAGCAGTATCGAGGAGCAAAACTCAACAAAAGAAGAAGAGAGAGTGAGCAGCTCAGAGTTCACTAGCACTTTGGCCTTTAATTACCAGGGAAATGATAAATTAATAGTAAAAAAATCAATTGGTCACTGAAGTTATAGATGGGTTCAATTTGATCACTCAACTTTAATTTATTCCAAATTAGTCATCTAGCTTTGTGTTTTATTTCATGTTGGCCATTAGACTTTAAATTTTTCCAAATCAGACACCAAGCTTTAAGTTCTGTTTCTCAATGCAAACTGCATTAGTCTCCATTTTTACAAACAATAATGTTTAATACGATGTATTAGACGACCATAAAATTTTGCTGTGTTAGAGATACCAACTTCCTACTATCAACTATTTTGATTAAATTGATTGATCTAATCCAATTTTAATGACACGTAAGACAGAATATATATCATTCACTTTACCCCTACATCCCCTATATAGATAGAGTTATTTAAATTTATAAAATACTCTAATTAATATAAACTCGACAATATTTCGTGCCATACTTCAATTTGAATGAAATTTATTTATTTTTATGCATGATCTAATATGTCAAACGAATCATGTAAAATGCAGAGACTCGAAAGGGAGTCAGTGACGAATTTGGACAGTTCAATCAGGAATAATCCCATTTCGGGAGATAAGTAATAACTTTGAAGTAACGGGACTGCATTTTTCTTTTTTACTTAAAACATTATAAAGGCTTAGGTGGAATTTTCGATCTCCACCTAAAACACATAGAGGGTATGGCAATTCTCTACAACGTCTATTAATAATTTAATATAACCAAGAAATATAGCGAGTGGGACGAAGTGTTGTACCGCATAACTTACAAGCGAATCTGAAAGACATGACTTAACATAGAACATGCTATCTCTAGCACAAAAACGAGTCTTTGACGATTTGTCATTGCAAAAATTTTACCTTCCAGAATTTTAGACTAACAGTTCTTAGAAGACCAGCAATTTTGCAGTGAATTTGCTCCAATCTCCCCTCACTTGCCAAAAAATCTGCCATCGCGTTTTCGTCTTTGTAAAAATATGTGACCACCTCTCTAAAAAATGATTGAAGCAGCACTGTAATCTCTTCTAGCATGTATCGAATATGCCACTAACTCGTCTTTCGTTGAATTTCAAGAAATAAGGCTCCATCAATCATTATGATCGTAATAGTTTTAAGAATAATACTACTTGTATATAATGAAGTTACATAATTATTTATATATCGATGAATATGTCAAAAAGAGGGTGGTGGCTAAAGAAATTATGACTTATCATATTTCACCATACCTAAATCATTATGTACAAAAGGACAAATGTAATTTTAATCATCCACATATTAGCACATATTTTAAAATTGTTTATTATGCCCTGTTTGATGGGGGAAAATTCAAGTTTTAGTAAAATTGATATTGATAAAATGTATTGTATTGTTGAATATGCGGTAAAATTAATTATTAACTTTACCTTAAACCAAACAGGAGCATATGTACTTCATGATTCAATACTACGGGATGAGATGACATGAGTCATTACTCTCAAGGCTCAATCATGAGAAGTCTCAAACGGATAAACATGGCTGCCTCTTTAAGTTTTTATTCGACGATGCAATAAAATTCAGTCTGCTACCTTAGATAATTATATTCATATTCGAGCCATGCTTGGTGTACAACATTGTTGACATAATGTCACTTGACATTATGACATTATATCAGAGGACAATTTTAACAAAAAATTATTTTTCTAGCCAATAACGTTTTGTCAACACACCACATTGTCAACAAAGTCGCCATGTATGATTATACAAAAAATAAAATCCTACTCCAAATATACCCATGACTGTGTTAGCAAGGATTTTACTATTTTTACATAAAAATAGTACATAAGCAATTACAGAAAACAATGAGGGAAAATATTAAATGAAAAAGTCCATTCTATTTTAAATTGGCAAACGATTGAATGACATATGGATATTATGTAATCCATTATGTAAAGTTTAATGTACGCATAGCAACACCATTTTAACAATATTGTACAGTGATAAAATTTTCGTTATTTTTAGCTTATCGTGCATAAAATGACGTGTTTAGTAGAATCGATCCATACAAAATTTCTTAATCGTTAGCTCATTTCTTAACTCATCTATATTCATAGATGAACAGGATAAAACTTAATGGTTGAAAAATAAATGTTGAATGTGTGTAGGAAAAATGGTGGGATTAACTTTTATCCAAAAGTCATACTGTCTTTCGTACTAATTCTTTTTTTTTTTATAGGTAATCAAATAATTTTATTACTTAAAAGAGAATACACGAAGGGTGTACAATCACTTTAAGCTATTAAGGAAAAACATGAAATTAGGCAACCCATCTACAGGATTTCTAGCCACAGCATTAAACCAAGAATACAAGGTAAAGTAAAATGTTTCTCTTATCTGCTCTCTTGTCTTTGTTTGGTCTTTGAAGCAACGATTGTTCCTTTCTCTCCACACGCACCAAACAATGCAGCCCGGGATTAGGTGTCATGCTAGTTTGCTATCCTTATCCCGAAATTTTCTACGCCATGCCCGTATCACGTCATCTATACGACGAGGCATCACCCAATCCATAGATTGTGAACTGATTATACTGTTCCAAAGCCAACATACACCATCACAATGAATGAACAAATGTCGATCATCTCCCCATCCTTCTTGCACATATAACACCACTCGGTTGCATAAAAGCCTTTACGATGAAGATTATCCACCATTGAGACCTGTCCCCTCACAACTGTCCACAATAGGAATGCCACCCGAGGAGGCAATTTACACTGCCATACCAATTTCCATGGGAATGAATTATTCACACATCCCATGAGGGAACCAAAGTACGAGCGAACCGAAAAAATGACATCATGTGCTGTCCTCCACCTAATGCAATCCCTCTCTCCAACCCGAATTTGGGCCTCATGTAAAATGGTCATAAACAGCGAATAATCTTCCAATTCCCAATCCTAAAGATCCCTCCCAAAAGTTATATTCCAGCTATAGCTCCCATTATGAATGTCTAAGAGATCACTCACCAGGGTAGTGGACACTGAGGCAATACGATACAAAGAAGGGAATCTCTCCTTCAGCGGTTGATCTCCGCACCAACAATCATCCCAAAATTTAATCTCATTACCATTTCCAACCACAAACTTCAGTTTGTCCAAAAATGCACTACATCCCCGTCGGATATGCCTCCACAAGCTCACCCCATAAAAACTACAATCCTCAAATGTACACCATCCCCCATCGATCACACCATACTTTGCCCTAATTATTTCTCTCCAGAAGTTGTCCCTCTCCACTCCAAATCGCCACAACCACTTGCCTAATAAGGCTTTATTGAACAACACAAGGCTCCTCACCCTAAAACCCCCCATCCTCATCGGCAAACAAACAACTCCCCAATTGACCAAATGGAGTTTCCTCTCCTCTCCCAACCCTGCCCACAGAAATTCTCTTTGAAGCCTCTCTAATCTCTTTGCCACTGCAATCGGAATGGGGAACAATGACAAAAAGTAAGTAGAGAGATTGGAAAGAGTGGATTTAATGAGAGTAAGACTACCTCCCTTTGAAAGGTACATACGCTTCCACTTTGCTAACCTTCTCTCCATCCTTTCCACAATACCATTCCAGATATGGGTACTTTTAAATCGTGCCCCTAACGGGAGTCCTAGATATGACATCGGCAACTGCGCAACCTTACAACCCAATATATCAGCCAGCTCCTCGACATTATTGACCTCCCCAACTGGAATAGCCTCAGACTTTCCCAAATTGATTTTCAAACCAGACACCGCTTCAAAACATAAGAGCAGACGATGCAAGTTCCTGAATTGTTCTACATCTGCATCACATAAGATCAACGTGTCATCTGCAAATAACAGATGAGACACTTGCAATTGATCAACCATAAAACCCCTTATCAAACCCGCTCTCACTGCTCTTTCAATCATCCTACTGAGAGCCTCCACCACAATGATAAATAACAATAGGGACAATGGATCCCCTTGTCTCAAGCCTCTACTGCTCCGGAAATAACCCTCTGGTGTTCCGTTGACCAAAACTGAGAATGAAACAGTAGAAATACATAATTGAATCCATTTACACCATTTATCCCCAAAGCCACAGTACCTGAGCATATATAACAAGAAACCCCAAATTACATGGTCGTAAGCCTTCTGAATCTATATAACAAGAAACCCCTGGTGCCCTTAGGCGCATTCTTGAATCTATGCATTCATTCGCTATAAGCACAGAGTCCAAAATCTGACGCTCTTTTACAAATGCATTCTGAAACTTGGACACTACTTTTCCCAGTACCTCCTTTAATCTGTTTGTTAGGACTTTCGAAATAATCTTATACACCCCGCTGACAAGGTTAATGGGGCGAAAGTCCTTAATATCAGTCGCTCCCAGTTTCTTAGGGATGAGCACAATAAATGTGGCATTAGAACTTCTCTGGAATCTGCCTCGTTCAAAAAAATAAGATAAAGTATTCACAATGTCCAGTCGAACCACATCACAACACACTTTGTAGAATGAGAACGAGAAACCGTCCGGTCCCGGGGCCTTATCATCGTTCATGCTGAAAACGACCTCCTTAATTTCATCCTCCCCAAATGGTCTCTCCATCCATCGGGCATCATCCTCATTGATTGTAGAAAAGTGCAATCCCTCCGATTCTGACCTCCATTCAAATTGCTCCCGATAGAGGTTTTGATAAAAATTAACCAGTTGGCTTCCAATTTCCTGTGGTTCCTCATAAGTAACCCCGTCCACCTCCAAAACTGTGATGGAGTTGTTCCTCCTACTAGAATTGACGACCCTGTAGAAGAATTTAGTCCATTTATCCCCCTCTTTCAACCAAGTAACTCTAGATTTCTGTCGTCAATTAATCTCCTCCATCTCCACCAACCTCTCCATCTCTTCCTTTAATACTCTATGTCTCTCCTTCTCCTCCCCAGTCAACCCCTGACTCTCCTCCCGCCTATCCAATTCCTCTATCTATG